GTAAGTAATAAATACTCCCTTTGTGTGGGAGTACAGAAACTGCGCCTTCAGTCAAAAGGCCCCACGGGGTTCGCTTTTCCAAGTGGGAGCTCGATGCTTAGGGAACTACTTGCCCACCGTGTGGGTGGCTTGTGCACCTTCATTCAGCGGGACGTAATCTGCGTATTCTTAATGCAGTGCACCAGGCGCTCCAGCTTCTCCACACGCCGCCCCTTGCGCGCTTCCTGCCCCGCCCCCCAACCGCCTTCTGCTTCAATTCCAGGACTGAGTTGGGACATCACCAGGGGCAGGAGTCTTGCTCTAGGCTAAGCTTGGCCTGAGTCCGGAGGGAGGGAGCCCCAAAGCAGAAGAGAGGTTCAGAATAGGAGGGGAGAACGCAGTCAGCAGGAGGAAGATGTTTCTGACACACAAACTATGACAACTTTGACAGACGCCCTCTCTTCCGCTTGGCCAGCGATCAGTGGGTTGTATGTTTTCAGGAAATAACAACCACAGGGACTAATATTTACTGAGCTGTTCATTGTGCCAAGTTCTCTACAAGCGCAGTTCTCGTTTACTTTGCACAACGTCCTCTGAGCTAGGTTTGTCATCCCCATTTGACAGATGAGGAAACCCAGGAAGTTAAGGGAGTCGAGGTCACCATCTCCCTTCCTAGGGACAAATCACTTTAGAGAGCCAGGATGCCAGGATTAACGGAATTCCATGTGGAGGGCCTAGTTCTCAATGTTCACAGTGATGATAGCTATGAACTCTGAGTGACTGGCAGGCATTTGATAAACATGAGGGGAGAGCAGGTCTGGAGGGTTGTATAACATTTTATTTGAAACTCTTGCTTCCTAGTTTTAAAGTTTATAACCAAATCCCACATTCTCCTGTCCAGCCCCTGGGTTTACTTCCACATTTCTAAATAACGTGTCTATATGCTGTTTCGTGATGTTTCTATCTCGGATATTATACTTTTTGATTTCCTAGTATGGAAAAGGAAATTTTATCTTAAACCCCGCACATCCTCAAAAGGCATCTTTCTGTACCTTTCATCATCCCGGCAAAGATATACCATAAGCTTTAAATCAATAATCACCATTTACATGATTATGAGTTTATGAATATTATTCAGGGCTGAGCTTATTGTATTCTGTGGATATTTCCTTTTGTGTAAACTTCTTGCTTACCCTAGAGGGAATAATTGTCTCCCTTCCCCCACGCCCTGGCTTGTTTCTTTGCTTAGTGTTTTGTGTACTTATGATTATGGTCAAACTCTCTGCAAGACATGTAAATCTCTCAATGCATTCAAAAGTAACAGTCAATAGTTCAGATTGTCTCTCCCCCCCCACCCTCCTTCCCTCCTTCTCTCTTTTCTTTCTTGGAAACATTCTTCCTGGGGCTCATCAGTTTACCGTCCCAATCTGAGCTTGTTGCTTTCTTGGCTTGCTGTAGTTGTCATCCTGGCTGTCCAGTCCCCCTCTCCCTGGGCCGATGCCTGTTTCCTAGATCCTATGCTTTCCTCCTTCTTGTTTTATGGAGTCCATCTTTCAACGGCTTCTTGAGAAGCTATTGAGGCTAAATTTTTTACGACTTTTCCATAATAACGCAAAGTGCTATTATTCTACCCTCATGCTTGATTAAGATTTTGGAGAGAGTTTTAAGTTGAAAACCATTTTCCCTCAGAATTTTGAAGGCAGTGTTCCATCGTTTTCTGCTTTCTATGCTGTTGTTGAAAAATCTGAAGCCGTTTTCCTAATCCTGTTTATTTGACCTGTTTTCTCCACCTCTGGAAGATTTTAGGATTTCTTTTCATCTTCAACAGTATGGAATTTCAGAGATGAACTTGGGGGTGAGTAGTTTCCATTTGACAGCTCTAGAAAGGATGTTTCCAAGAAAAAAGAAAAAGAAGGGAGGCAATTATTACCTCTAAAGTAAGTTGAAGTTAAGAAAGAAAATAATCATAGGATACTGTGAGCACAGCCATGAATAATATTCATGTCATAATAATGTAAATGCTGGTTACTGATTTAAAGCTT